GATGACTATCGTTTGTCCTTCTGTTTCCTTTAAAATGACATAAGTACTCTGTAAACGTCACCGTAGATTTCGATTTTGAAATCTTTGTTTTTATAATTTTAAAGAGCAATCGAAACTTCAAATGTTTATATTGGAGAATGTATTTTTCTCTTGAGTTGAAAACATGTTTTTTCTTTTCTTTTTTTTAGATAAAACGTATTAAAATTTAAGATTAAAACTTATATAAATATTGTATAGTAGGTAAAGCCATTTGGTTGATATTCTGCACGAGATTATAAAATTGTTTTACACTCGTGTAGAGACATAAGCGAAACTATAATTTTTAAATATTAATGTATTTTGATATCGAAATTCATTCATGTACTCATTTATCCAGCCAACCATCCGTCCGTCGGTCCATCCATTCATTCATTAATTCACTCATTTACATGTTCACTTATCTATGTTCAAAATTTCCCCAACCAACATCCTTTTCTTAAGATTCTATACAGCTGAAGACTTCCCGCTTATCAACGTTGATAACACAACTTCCCATCGAGCTGGACTGTCATTTAATAAACTTATCAAGTTTCCTYTTGTAGAATTAATTACAGTAAGCACAGTGAAGGGATAGTTTATCTTTACCTAATTATTCCTAAAATAGCTGTTATTTCAGTTGAGCTACCGGGTCGATACAATGCTTGTTATCTCATCTGCATTTCATTTGGAATCTTCCATGATATCTGCCATTAACTTGAAACCTTTTGCAATCGGAATCAAGAGAGGCGTATCTGGATTGATCTAAGTCAGGGCACGGCTGACTCACAGATCAAACCCTAAACAACCCCTGGGATGATCTAAGTCAGGGTACGGCTGACTCACAGATCAAACCCTAAAACAACCCCTGKGATGATCTAAGTCAGGGTACGGCTGACTSACAGATCAAACCCTAAAACAAYCCCTGGGCTGATCTAAGTCAGGGCACGGCTGACTCACAGATCAAACCCTAAAACAACCTCTGGGATGATCTAAGTCAGGGCACGGCTGACTCACAGATCAAACCCTAAAACAACCYCTGGGCTGATCTAAGTCAGGGCACAGCTATAAATCGCAGATCGAACTCTYAAACAACCTCAGGGCTGATCTAAGTCAGGCACGGATAAATCGATGAAAAATTTAGTGTGTGACGTTTTGCGTCACGTCGAGAGAAAAATGGGTGAGCCTAGATAAAAYCCTCAAATCAAGGGAGAAGCTTTTAAACAAACTCTAGTCAATTATGATGCCGAGTCCAGGGATCGAGCCCGAGACCCAGAGTCGAGAGGCGATTGCACTTCCACCACACCACCCTTGATTGCCACCGGAAGGAGAGGCAGTTATGATACCTGTAAAAGCCCTCCTATGATTGACAATCTCATGATCAGTCCTTAAAAGAACTAGCTTTTAAGACGTAATGTTACGTCATCTACTTACTCGTTATTTCTACTGACACGCGTCGAAAACGAGAAAGAAANATTGGCTTTATATAGTCCTCCATATCCTCCACTGTGGCCCCTGGGAAGGGTTTTATATTAACTCTGTTTGTCTTGCTTGACATTTTCCAACCTTCGAGCTTCGATATTATAGAATCTCCAATTATAACTGTACTAGTTTTGTTTCTGTCCTGAAGCGAATGGTCCTGGTTATTAGTAAAAGAGGGAGAGAGGGAGAGAGAGAGAGAAAGGAAGATAGATAGAAAGATAGATAGATAGAAACAAACCACTATCAAAGCTAAGAGGCCTCTTCGATATTTGATTTGTTTTCATACAATTTAAAAAACCTTCATACTTTGTATTCATACTTCAATCATATCCCACCCTCGAAAAAATTCCCAAAAGAAAAAATCGCTACGAAAATATTTCAAGCGTAATCTGTAAATCTTCATKTATCTTGTGAAAGCTCCAATAGATGCACACGTAATCCAGCTATACATATTTTCTCGAAAATCCCTCTAAAAACGTCAGTATTCTAATATTTATTCAAGCCCCRGGTCTCAATATTGTATAATTGTCAGTTCTTGATTGTTATCGCCAGAGTTAGTCGAAATATTACAGCTTGAAGCAAAATGATAACATCTTTTTTTCGTACTTTCGTTCCCTTTGAAATCAGTTCCGGCTGTCGTTGAAACAGTAATAATGAATCTTATATTTTGGAATATGTATTTAAATTACTGTTGCTCACGTAGAATAGCAGTGGTTTAAAATGGGTTTCTAATACGGCTCCTTCAAAATRATTGACGGTGTGAAGTATGTGGCTTCAGTTGTAAAATACGAAGACATTGATCAATTCTAGCAATTCTCAGCGGCTCATGTGAAGTTCGACGTTTGACCTGAGCCTAATAATCGAGTTTCGAGTTCTCTGTTGCTCAGGCWAAGGCCACGTCCACAKTATGCCGGATAAACTTGAATCCGCAGCTTTCACACCGAAACCGAAAAAAAAGTTTTCCGTCCRCTCATGAAAATGGATAAAATGTTTCGCGTCCACACTATGCAGCCCAGGGGCGGCAAAAACGCTTCATTGCACATCTGAGCATGTGCATCGAAGCTTAAATTGAGCCCGCTGTGAATTTTTAGCATTCCCGCCCTGTTCCCATGACAATCATGACGTCATCGTATTCGAAAACATTCRGATACAAAATGTTCTCCGTCCACACTAATACGGCTAGCCGGCTTTCCAAATTGTTCCACTCTGGAGACCGTATTCGAAAAAATTGATTTTCGGTGAAGAATTGTTCCGGATTCGCCCGGACTAGTGTGGACGGTAGACCTAACCGAATAYATAAAAATTCGGTTCCAAATTTATCCGGCATAGTGTAGACGGGGCCTTAGCCTAGACTTTGTGYAGAATTTTCATCTGTTCCACTGAAGGTCCGTGCAATATCAAAGTGTTTGTATTGTTGAAGTTGTGCATTCTTTAATTTACCGTTGGTATTTGTGAAAATTTAGACACTGATACGAGGCCTGAGTAAATGAGTCCGTAATCGAGGAACACARCGGTAAATTGAAACTYGGAACTCGGACAATTTCATGGAAACACTTTGATTATTGCCCACCAAAACCCTATTTYAATTTGCAGCGTCAGCAAACTATACGATTTCGCGTGTGTTTGGAAAGTACCTTCCCTGCTAGCAGAGTCTTTCCTCTTTCTCTCCCTTCTTCTAGGCGGGGAGGAGGGAGACTCTGTCGATGTAGAGCGTTTCCTTTGATACACCGCCGTCCACGATGGTGAACAAACGAAACCAGTTTTAAAACAGGTTTTTAACCGGGTAATGTAGTGCGCATGAGCAAATTTAACACACCATGCGCCAAACGTTCTTTGACGAGTCGTTGCTAAGTTACGCCACGCAGGCGCAACAAGTATAACATCCTACATCGGCAGGCTCTATTTTTCTAACTCCACCAAAACAAAAGGAAAAAAGGCTGCTGCTAGCAGGGAAGAAAGTACCGTAAGAAATTCTATAAAATTTWAAAAAAATTTCTTGACAGTAAATGACATCATACAGCATTTAGGTACCAACCTCTTGTACGTTATTTAATTCATCTAAATACTGCTCAGCCTTGATAGTATCCCATCCCATCCCTTTCAAAGGGCCTCGTACTGTTCTAATATATCTTCCTAGGAACCTTTTACCTTCAGCGAGCGAGTTGAATGGTCTGGTGGTATCGCCAGAGGTAGCCATGTTTTTGTTTAAGTTTTGTGTTTTCCAGTGCCAATAGCAAAGTTCGCCAGCATACATCAGTCCAAGTAGATGAGTGTCACTAAAAATACCTAAAAAAAACATCTTGGCTAACTAAGGAATCTAAACCTTGAAATTGATTGATACCCTGAAACAGCATCTGAGAGTCTATGTCTCTTCTGGCAGAGTTTGTTAGATCTCTCCCTTCCTTTAAATGATTCGAGGCTTTTTTCTCCTGGTTCTCCGGCTTTCCTCCGTCTGCAAAACCTGACAAGCTAAATTCAAATTCCATCCGTGTTTTCAATCCCTGACTAAGATCAGCCCAGAGGTTGTTTCAGGGTTC